TCTGGCTTCCTGGCTTTTAATCCCCTTTCTCCTGCTCTTCCTGCCTGCTACTTTGGGCGTCCCTGAGTTGTCTCTCCTCACCTGTAACCCTGGGGCTGACTTTTAATAGATATGTAAATTATTGACAATAATTACAATAACTGGCCATGCAACCCTACTGTTAATCAATGTGGAATTTCCATCACTGTTAACCTTCTTTCACTCCCTGTCCATTTCACCTGTGGTAGCCACTAATAAACTTTGTTCTCTACTTAAAAAAAAAAAAGAGTGATTCTCAAATTTAGGACAACTAAACCAAAACACCCACTGTTGTAGAGTCAATTTGACTCATAGTGACCTCTCCTTGGGTTTCTGAGGTGGTATCTCTATGCAAGTAGACTGAGACTAAGGCTCTGGGAAAAAAGGTCCCTAAGTGGCACAAACAGTTTGTGCCTGAGCACGGCAACTGAAGGTTGGCAGTTCAAACCCACCTAGTGGCACTGAGAAGGAAAGTCCTAGCAATCTGCTTCTGTTAAGATCCCAGCCAAGAAAACCCTATAAAGCACACATGGGCTCCATGACTCAGAATCAACACAACAGCAAGTAACAGCAACAGAAACCGTTAAGACTCTCCATCCTTTAGGCAGCAAGTAAAAGCTGTATGTTAGACGACAAAATACGACCTTGCATTTAGCAGGGACAGAAGTCAGAACAAACATTCTAGCTTTTACAATAAAGACAAGGCACTGTGAACCCACAATGTGCCAAGCCATGTGCTGGGAGCTGAGGAGACAGGACTGAGACGGGGTCCTGCCTTTTGAAGCTCACAGGTGAGTCTGGGAGCCAGACCTGTAACCAACCAACCATGGAACAAGGCACGCCAACAGAAGTGCTGAGAGTTGCAGTGCTAAGAGAGCCCGAGAACACAGGATCAATTCTGTCTGAAGGACCGGAGAAGGCAGTCCTCTGACTATGTACACAAGGCTCACTTGGCTCTGGACCCATCTCCCTCTTGCTCAGCATTGACCCTTTCTAGTGCACTCCCCTGGCTCTGCTGGACACCCCTGTCAGCTGTTACCAACAGGACCCCTGTAAAAACACCTGTGGTTTATCTTGCTGTTCGCATGTGTTCACTTTCTTAAATCATCTTTCCACAAGGATGTTATGTTCTGTTAGGACAGAGGTTGCAGACTGCCGGTTAGGGGCCAAATAAGGCTCCTAGTCATGTTTTATTTGCCCCAGCTAAACATTTTAAAACTGGGTACTTGCACATAAAAACTTGGATGTCTAGTTTCTCTTGAAAACGAGAAGCTGGCAGCACTGCACTAGCAGGGTGCTTGCTAGGTGGACCTGATCACCCTGGCCCCTCCAGGAATGGTATTTGATTTCAAAATTCCCTACAGTCCCCATCCAACTCGCACCAGTCACTTTTAGCCTGGGTCCTGCAGGCACAGAGTGTATGAGTCACGGCTAGCTCTAGCACTATTTTACTTCCTTGTTCTGACAGAACAGTTCTCACTTCCTACAACACCCAGCAAGGAACTTCATGATCTACTCCCACCTTCGTAGTTTTAGTGCTCCCTGCATCCCTCCCCCCAATCCTGTATCGCTGCCCTGAATACCACTTGAAGCCCTCTAAGCCCTCTTTACACAGTGCCCATCACCCATTTCCAGGTACCTTGTCTTAGTCATCTAGCATTGTATTGTGTACACAACAGACTCTCAGATGTGTACTAAAATGTACACATTAAACAAAACTTTCATAACTAGTAGGGAAAATGGAAACACAGAACACTTAAAATATTATGTGAACCATGGGGGCTGGATGAACCCCTGAAACTATTGCTCTGAGATAATTTTTAAAACGTCAACCAAAAATATCCTCTGAAGTATTATTAAAAAATAGTTTAGGTAACTAGTAAAAAATGTCTGCTTTGGGTATTACATTCTCTTAAGAACTGTCTATCCAGGATCAACTCGACAACCTCAACTTGAAAGCTCAGATATAAAACTTAGGGAGTGGTGAGTTTACATTATTGGAGAAGGAACATCTCAGAAAAGGAGGGTGAGAGTCATGTAACTCAAAGCATGTGAGCAATGTCACTGAGTCGTACATGCGGGAACTATTGAACTGGAGTATGTATGTTTTGCTGTGTATATTCTCAACAACTACAAAACAAAATGTAACAAAATTTTACATGAAAAAAGCTTAACATAATTCTAAGGGTCAAAACTAAAACCAGCCTTACACATACAGATATACATAGGCACCCACATATATAACAGTACGTAGTATGTTATACTATAGGTCATATTGGGCAAAGAACAAAAAGGTAGATTAGTATGGCTTCAGTTATGGTTAATTTTTTCACTCTACCACACTTTCTGAAATGTACTTACATACTAATTTTATAGTAGACAAAATAAATTTATAATTTAAAAAGTAGCCAATTTTCTGGTAAGCCTAGCATAAATCCATCGTACTAAAAGGAACTGTCCTGAACCAGACTACTGTTCTTCACTTCAGTGTTTACAGGATTAATATAAAGTAGAGAAACAGAGTTGTCCCATGATCACTGGGTGAGCTTTACAGAAGTCTTTTCTGAGATACAGATTAACTTCTGTATGTACGAATCTGCTCAGAGATTCACCCCTCCATGAGCTAGCTACACGGGGTACATTCATGTACAAAAATCACTTGTTCCACGGGCACCTTGGTTTTTATGAACTCTGAGTGATCTAGAGTGATCTAGAGCAGGGTCAGCAAACTTTCTGTAAAGGGCCATATAGTAAATATCTGGCTTTATGGGCCATAAGGTCTCTGTCACCACAACTGCTGAACTCTGCTGTAGTAGCATTACAGCTGCCAGACAACTGGAATCAATGGCATGGCTCTGTTCCAATAAAACTTTGTAAGAACAGGGGGTAGGCTGGGCTTGACTTGTGGAACACAGTTTGCCAACCCCTGACCTAGACCAAAGTATTCTAATTGGTATGTCATGACCCATTAGTTGGACACAATTTCAATTATGCAGGGTGCAACTGGCAGTTAGAAAATATTTGAGGACAACACTTAAGAAGGCTAAAATACTGAGCTCTGAAAATTGCTTCAGCTATGTGTACATGCACATACACGTATGTGTGTTCAGGGTCACGATGTAAAATATATCTCTTATGTGGACTGTGGTCAAAAAGAGTGAGTGATATTAATTTAGAGACTAATTATAACAATTAAAACAAAACACCTTACTGTCATCGAGTCAAGTTTAACTCATAGCGACCCCCATTGGGTTTCCAAGGCTATAAACCTTTATAGAACCAGACTGCCCTATCTTTCTTCCACGGAGTAGCTGGTGGGTTTGAACCACCATCCTTTTGGTTAGCACTCAAATGCCTAACCACTATATCACCAAAAAAACCAAAACCAAACTCACTGCCGTTGACTTGATTCCAACTTATAGCGACCCCCATTGGATTTCCGAGGCAGTAAATCTTCACAGAAGCAGATTGCCCCATCTTCCTTCCATGGAGCGGCTGGTGGGTTTGAACTGCCAACCTTCTGGTTAGCAGTCAAATGCCTTAGGCACTATACCACCAGAGCTCCTTATTTAGAGAATAAGCATCAAGAAATTCAGATTGTATAATTAATAAAAAAACAAAAATATGACATTCTTAACAAAGTTTTCCTATGTAAGGTACTTCAGTGTGAACTCAGGGGAAGTCAGGTTGTACTTATCATGGAGGAGATACTGGAATAAAAAGAACTATGATCTCTGAATGATGCTTGTCTCTGACAGGGAACAACTAGCTTGTTTGAAAGTGCCAGCATGTACGTGCCTTCTCTCCTTTCCTCCCCTTCTAGGGATGGAAGCTGGAAGTACTGGACGCTACTAGAGGGCAATCATCAGACTGCTCTGAAGGGGTCCTAGTGGGAGCAGGTGGACAACGGGGAGCGGCACTGAGCCTTTACCATTGGTTCCGCAAATCTGGAGTGGTCAGAATGGTTGAGGCGATTCGGGCTCCATTAATAGGAGGGTTGGAGTACATGGGACGGATCAAGATCTTTAACTGTGATTCCACCCTTTTGGCTGTTTCAGCGTCTACGCAGACCACAGTGAAGGCTCCCACACGCTCACCTGAAAAGACAAAATGGATCATGTCCTCTGGTCCTGTTGTCTAACGTGCTAGAGTAAATCACGATTAAAAGTCTTATATATTGTTTACTTCCACCAGAAACATCATGGTAACTCTTAGTTAAAAATAACACCTCCCACCAAACTCTCCTCTTCTGTAGCACCTTCTCCCAGCTCGTCTTCAAACCCACCTGAACATGCATCCTACCAGGCCTGTGAGCTTACCGTATAAGCCCATGTTCTTGGCGTACGACTGGCAGAGACAAACATCAATGCCTTGTTCGATGAAGTGGCGCACGGCCCAGGCATCCTTGTTACCATCTCCACTGGCAAAGCCTTGGTAGGCCATGTCAAAAAATGCAAAAAGATTCTTTTTCTGGGAAGGAAAGAGAAGACAAAATCTTTAAGTAGTCCATCTGAAGATGCTCCAGGTAGTAACTTGTGCTTATAGACCCAGTCTAGACAGTTTTTCCTCCTAGTGGAACTTTGGGAGATGTCTTAATTTTACTAGAGGTAGGAGAGTAACAAAGACACTCTGGTGGCACAGTGGTTTGGGTATTTGGCTGCTAAATAAAAGGTTTGCAGTTTGAACCCACCAGCCGCTCCTTGGGAGAAAGATGAAGCAGTTTGCTTCTGTAAAGATTTACAACCTTGGAAACCCTGCAGGGCAGCTCTACTCTGCCCTATAGGGTTGCTATGAGTTGGAATTGACTCAATGGGAGTGGGTGGTTTTTTCAGGAGAGTTACATTTTTTTTTTGTAGATATGGTCCCTTGAGAAGACACTAAGAAAACAAAATCTTAAACTCCATCTGCCCAGGAATGCTGCTTGGTCAAACAGGACGTTCTTCTAAGGCCCACAGTGACCTGGGTAATTTGGTCTAGTAAACACAGGACTAGAATGCTTTAAAACTCAGCATCAGCCTCTTCTGGGGCTGGTGTAGCCCTTCTGGCACTGGTGTAGCCCTTCCGGGGCTGGTGTAACTCTTCCAGGCCTGGGGTAGCCCCTCCGGGGCTGATGTAACCTTTCCGGGGCTGGGGCAGCCCTTCTGGGGCTGGGGTAGCCCTGGCAGACTTACAGCCAGGGCTCATGGGTGAGCTCATCAGAACCATGTCTTCTCAGAAGTGCAGTCTGTGGTGGTTTTCCTGTCTCATCTTGTTTGTAGCTTAGATTTGACAGAAAATGAGAAAAGGTGTGAATATGAGGAGATGATACAAGGGGAGTAATATTCTGCCCCTTAGGGATTCTGACTAGCGCCTTCTCTGGCAGCTGACTGTGCTCTATGAATGAAAATGGCAATGTTGAAGGCAGTGACAAGGGAAGGAGGGGACATGTAAAAGTACATAGAAAAATGACCAACCAACCACTGAGCAGGGCAAGTGCAGGCACAAGCATCAGACACCCTGGGGCCAGTGGACAGCCCCATGCAGGCCAGCCAGCGACAGGCTTTATGTAGAATTACTCATACCCAGGCTGAGGATCAAAGTTATTTTCAAACTGTTCATGTATCCTCAATTACAGAACTGCTAGTTATGCAAATGACGAGCCCTTTCTTGGCAGCTTACTATGTATGCAGAAATTTCATGCAGGTCAAGGTTAAGTGTGTCTCACTGTTGAGTCTTTGCCAAATTAAGCTTCCAAATCTAGTTACTAGACACAGCACTGTCACCAGCCAGTTCCTCCTCCTCCTCACCTTCACCACTGTTGCTATTTCCTTCCACTGTTCCGGACGGGGGTCCACTCCCGTGGGATTGTGAGCACAGGCGTGTAGAAGAAGAACACTTTGCTCTGGCATTTTCTAAAGAGGAAAACAATCAACAGATTGGTTTGCAGCTTTAAAAGAGAGAGTTTAGCTGAAATGTCATAGGTCACGATCATTTGCTAAGGAACAAAGGTAACCCGAGGTCGGGGAATGAGCTCACCCCAATATCTTAAGTCAGATACTGAGATCCACTGGGAGACCTCAAAGGAGCTCCAGTGGGGTAGTGGTTAAGGCATTTGGCTATTAATGCAAAGGTTGGTGGTTTGAACCCACCAGCTGCTCCATGGTAGAAAGATGAGGCAGTCTGGTTCCTAAAGATTTACAGTCTTGGAAACCCAATGGAGGTCGCTATGATTCAGAATCGACTCGTTGGCAGTGAGTTTGGTTTGGTTTGGGAGACCCCGAATCTCTAAAAGCAGCTTTATTTCTTGTTTCTTTACCCTTCTCGCCCAGAAAGCCACACTTACTGAAATGTCATCTATAGCGCCTGTGAAGTCAAAGCCGCACGTCTTGGGGTCGTAGTATCGATAACCATGTAGCTGCATGCCAGCGTCCCTGAAGATGGGTGTGTGATTTCCCCAGGACGGCTTGGGCAGAAAGACATCTCGGCTGAACTTAAAGAATCTTTGCTAAAAGATGGTGTCAAAGCGGATAGAAAAATGAAGAAAAAGGAGGCAAATAACAAAGTTGGTGGTTTTTACTGAGAAGGCATCTTTCTCTACTGGAATCCAGCTCCCCTCTATGGCTGAGAGACAGTATGGACCCAAAATGCCTGGGCTGGATTCTGGCTCTCAAATTATACTGGCTGTGTAGCCAAGGACTCTCTGGGCTCCACTTTTTCTTCTGTGACATGGGGATAACTATACCTCCCTCACAGGGTTATGATGAGAATGAAATGAGTTAAAATATAAAAGCTCCTGGTAAGAGCAAGTGTTCAATAAAGTATAGATATTATGATTATATCTTCCACGCAATTTCTTCAAAGTACTTTCATTTTTCCTAAGTCCATTTATCAGACAATAGGAAATCTGCCAATTTTGTGAAAAGGGGATGCTACTTCTGGGGCCAGAGGTCAAATACCCATACAATAGCAAACTCCATCTTACAGACCATCTCATGGCTATTTCCCAAAGGGGATTCCAGACTCACCAGAAAACTGGCTCCGATCCTTAATGCCCCAGTTCCAGAAATGGTCTGCACAGTGACATACTGAAGGAAAGAGACCCTCAATCAGTGAAGTGTAACACTCTCTATACAAGCCTACAACTTGTTAACAAGACAGGTCAAGCCCACAGAGGGGCAGTGCTCTGCACAGGCAGCACCTTTTGTACTTCGGAAGCTGGAAGCAACATGCCAGGTGACTATGCAGAAAAGGAGAGAACAGCAACGTTGTGTCTCTCCCCCGTTTGTCACGACATGGACCGATTCTCTGTTCCTGTCCCAGAAGAGCTGTCTCTTCAGCTTCCAACGCCTTTGATGATGCAGAAACTATTTTTTTTACTGCCCATTACTAGTATCGGCCCAATGTTCTATGGATAGGACACAGAAATTCCTTCTCATTATTAAAGAGCAGTGATTTAGTCAAAGAAATAAAGACAGTAAGAACAAACACTGCATCAAAACATTATTCTAGAATTATAGAAAACCAAATGGCAAAGTTCCTCAAAAAGCAAGCCAGCAAATATAGTAGGATACTGTTAGACATTTTGAAGGCTGTTTAAGACATCCTCATCTACAAGTTTTCATTATCAGAAAATATCAACCTTTCAGGCAACAGGAAGATGTCTGAGATAAATCTGTTCCTTCGAATCAATCAACTTTAGGGGATAAGTAAGAAACCACAGTAGGTATATATGTGTGTGTGTGTTTGCACCATAGAAGTAGAAGGCTTTTTATGCTCTACAAACATAAACACATTCTCTGGACAGGGTGGTAGTGTGGTAGTGGCAATGGGTGAAAATGCAACTAAACAAAACCCATACATTGGTCCCTGCAAACTCTGGCATGATGGAAACCAAAATCTAATCCTGCAGACTGTCGACCTGATAGTACTAATGATTCACAAAGGCACGGCAACTTTAAAGGACAAGCTGATGTTATTTTAAGATAGGCCAGTCTCATACTTAGGTTACAAGTGGCTAGACTGACAGGCTCTGCAAAAATCAAAGCATGAATTAAAAATACAGGTATCTTGGTGAAGGGTGAGTCAGTGGTTGACTGGATGGAAATCAACCAAACCAAGCATGCCCCCTCCATGACTTAGGGTAAATACTACATCAACCTGGGCTGGACGTTGTATGATTTTCTGAGTTAATAAACTAATTTAGAAGAACTAACAAATGGACTTAGCCCAGTCTCCTGAATAAGTTGTATTAATTCTGGTAGGGGAGAATAGGATGTTACCCTAATTTTGCTACCCCCACTCCCCCATTACTTACATATACAAATGTATCCATTGGAAAAGAAAGTAAACCACAATGCACAGGCGCCCACATGTCAGCCAGCCCTCCCTCAGCCTGCTCTGGGTGTGTTCCATGGCCTGGCCATGTCCTACCCATGGAATGCTAGTCTTCCACTACAGGCTCTGGGCCTTCGACTGACAGGAGCAACTGGGCTACTCTGTGGGTACATACAGGAATCTGTAAAAAGTGTGAGTCTAGCGGTGTTGAGGGCCACCATCCTTCTCCCACGATAGGAGGGCACTCCTGTAGTCACGAAACAAAATATATATGAACTGCTGCATGGAAAATGAATTTGCTCTGTAAACTTTCATCCAAATTGCAACAGGAAAAAAAAAAAAAAGGAGGGCACTCCAAGGAAGTGTGAAGAGGAGACAAACTAGGAGGTCCTTGTGCTTCTCCTTAGGGCTGCAGTGATGCCTCTGGACCTCTGGGAGTAGGCAGGGAGCAGGAAGGGAGGGCGTTTTACCTCTTTCAATGTGCAAACTGGCTGTAAGGTAGCAGAGGAGTGCTTGACCGGCCTGAGCCCCACCAACCCACCTGTGACTTGTTCCCTGCCTGCTTCCTCCACCTAAGCAGAGAGCTTAGGACATGAGGGTGGGGTGAATGAGAGGCCCAAACTAAGCAATATCAGCTATTTCAAAAGCACATTCCACATATAAAGAATATAAGCACACACAGACTAACAATAAAAGGAGCACCGAATCTATCTACCAGAGGAATTACTACTGCGTTGTCAGGATTGCTACTACATTTTTAGAACTGTTGTTATATGTCTTTAATTTAATTATTTCTAATACACTCTCTAAAGAAAATGCATTGGCAATAGTGTGGTCATCTCCATAGAATCATTGCATATAAAGTAGGCTGTCTTTTCCTATGTGGTTAGATCTGGGAATGTTAAAAGCAGATGTGGGACGATGCCAGAGTCTGTTCAGCTTACCCGGCCGCTTTTCAACACCTCATTGTTCTCGCCCAGGGCCAGTTCAGCAGATGCCTTACAAAATTCAGCCAGTCCTCCAATAGGCAGGTATTCCTTGTCCAGATTTTTTGCAGCAATCTGGGCCTCTGCCTAAACAAGAGAAATGCATCCTTTTAGTTCCCTCTCCTTACCTAGAATTGTCAATAATTAATATTTAATGCTTTATGAGTTAAATTTTAAAAGTAAAGCCTTTCCTTTTTTTCTTCCACCTGTCTAGAAATCTACTCATTATTATTTCTGTTTTATCGTGGTACAAATACACATAACAAAAGATTTGCCAATTCAAGGTCCCTGGGTGGGGCAGATGTAGCAACCCAAAGGTTTTACCCACCCAGTGGTACCACAGAAACCCACATCTGGCAAGTGGCTTCCAGAGAGTATAGCCAACCCCATTCCTGAGCCTTCAGAGTCTCTCCAGAGGAATACATCAACCAACGACTGCCTCAACAAAAGATCTGCCACTTCAATGTTTTGACATGTATAATTCAGTGACATTAGTTCTATTCCTCAAGTTGTGCAACCACCAGCTCTATCCATTTCCAAATGATTCCATCATCATCATGAAAACTCAATGACCACCAGGCAATGGCTCTCTCTCATCCATTCCCTCCCACCCCTCGTGATCACTGATGGACTGTGATCTCTGTACATCTGTCTGCTCTAGCTATTACATATGAATGGGTCATATAGTACTTTTGTGACTGACTTATTTTACTCAGCATAATGTTTTCAAGGTTCATCCATGTTAAAGCACTTTTTCTTTTTAAAATTTGAAGTTACTGTCTAAGAAAAAGGGCAAGAAGAAAATTTGATGAGTTGGGTTCTGACTTATAGGGACCCCTCCTTGGGCTTCCGAGATGGTATCACTGTAGAAGTAGATAGCCCAATCTGTCTTCCGAGGAGTGGCTGGTGGGTTTGAACCGCCAGCCCTCTGGCTAGCAAATGCCTTGGGCACTATGCCATCAGAGCTCTTGACTGCTGCTTCCATGGGTGTTGACTGTGGATCCAAGGAAAATGTAATCCTTGATAATGTCAATCTTTTCTCCATTTACCATGATGTTACTTATTGGTCCAATTGTGAGGATTTTTGTTTTCTTTGTGTTGAGGTGTAGTCCATACTGAAGGCTGTAGTCTCTGATCTTCATCAGTTTAGTGCTTCAAGTCTTCTTCAATTTCAGCAAGCAAGGCATTATCATAGATTGTTAACAAGGCTTCCCCCAATCCTGATGCCATAATCTTCTTCATAGAGTCTAGCTTCTTGGACTATGCGTTCAGCATACAGATTGAATAAGTATGATGAAAGGATAAAAACTCTGACCCCATGCAGTACCCCTTGTTCTGTTCAAACAAGAGCCTCTTGGTCTATGCCCTGGTTCCTCATGAGCACAATTAAAGTGTCCTGGAATTCACACTCTTCTCAATGTTAACTATAACTGGTTATAATCCACACAGTTACAAAGATGAATGCCTTTGTGTAGTACATAAAACACAGGTAAACATATTTCTGGTAATCTTTGCTTTCAGCCAAGATCTCACTGACATCAGTAATGATATCCCTTGTTCCACGTGCTGTTCTGAATCCAGCTTGAATTTCTGGCAGTTTCCTGTCTATGTACTGATGCAACCGTTTTTTAATTATTTTCAGCATAATTTGACTTGCGTGTAATACTAATGATATTGTTTGGTAATTTCTGCATTCCACTGGATCACCTTTGGAATGTACACAAATATGGCTCTCTTCCATTCGTTGGCCAGTAGCTGTCTTCCAAATATCTTGGTGTAAATAAATGAGTGTTTCTAGCATTACATCCATTTGTTGAAACATCTCAGTGGGTGGTCCATCAATTCTCAAAGCCTAGTTTTTCACCAATTCCTTCAGCACAGCTTGGACTTCTTCCTTCAATACTATTGGTTCTTGATCAGATATACCTCCTGAAATGGCTGAATGTCAACCAATTCTTTAATTCCTTCCATCTTCTTCTGATGCTTTCTGTATTGTTTAATATTTTCCCTATAGAATCCTTCAATACTGCAACTTTAATTTTTTCTTCAGTTCTTTAAGCTTGAGAAATGTCAACAGTGTCCTTTCCTTTTGATTCTCTAACTCCAGGTCTTTTCACCTTTCATTACAATACTTCACTTTGTCTTCCCGAGCCACCCTTTGGAATTTTCTGCTCAGCTCTTTCACTTCATCATTTATTCCCTTTGCTTTAGCTACTCTCCAAGCAAGAGCAAGTTTCAGAGTCTCTTCTGACATCCATTTCGGTCTTTTCTTAACGTCACACAGAAGCCAACCCAGATATAGAAGTACCCAAAGTAAAATAAACTTACATTTTGGTCTCTTCTCTCTAAAGGTCTTTTTTATGACCTTTAGTTTTCTTCATGTCATCCCACAACTCATCTGGTGGTCTGTCACTGGTGTGCAATGCGTCAAATTTATTCTTCAGATGTTCTCTAAACTTAGGTGGGATATACTGTAGGTCGTATTTTAGCTCCTATGGACTTGTTTTAATTTTCTTCAGCTCCAACTTAAACTTGCATATGAGCAACTGATGGTCTGTTCTACAATTAGCCCCTGGCCTTGTTAAGACTGATGATACTGAACTTCTCTATCATTTCTTTCTACAGATGTAACTGATTTGATTCCTGTACAGTGTATAGTTGTGGTTTGTTGTTGTAAAAAGTATTTGAAATGAATAAATCATTGGTTTTGCAAAATTCTGTCATGTGATGGCTGGTGTCATTCCATCACTAAACTTTAAAATCAAGTAAAATTAAAAAACCAACACCCAAACTCACTGCAATTGAGTTGATTCTGACTCATAGTGACCCCCTCTTTGGGTTTCCGAGGTGGTAAATCTTTACGGAAGTAGACTGCCCAGTCTTCCTTCCACAGAGGGGCTGATGGGTTTGAACCGCCAACCTTCTGGTTAGCACACAAATGCCTGAGGTTCTACATCACTAGAGCTCCTTTCTATTACTAAGGCCACATTTTCCAACAACAAATTCTTCTTTGTTTCCAACTTTCACATTCCAATCACCAATAATCATCAATGCATCTTAACTACATGTTTAGTCAATTTTAGACTGCAGAAGTTGGTAAAAATTTTCAATTTCATCATCTTTGGCTTTAGTGGTTGCTGTGTAAATTTGAATAGTAGCAGTATTAACTGGTCTTCTTTGTAGGCATATGGATCTTATCCTACCACTGACAACACTGTACTTCAGGATAGATTTTAAAATGTTCTTTTTGACAATGAATGTGATGCCATTCCTCTTCAATTTGTGATTCCTGGCTAAGTAGACCATACAACTGATCCCAAATGGCCAACACAGTCCATTTCTACTCACTAATGCTTAGGATATTGGTCTTTTGTTTTCCCTTTCATTTTTGACAACTTTCAATTTTCCTAGAGTCATACTTTGTACATTCCATGTTTCAATTATTTAAGGTTGTCTGCAGCTGTTTCTTCTCATTTTGATTCACTCCACATTAGCAAATGAAGGTCCTGAAAGCTTTCCTCCATCTACGTCATTAAGGTCGACTCTGGAGGAGGCAGCTCTTCCCTGGTGGTATTCTGAGTGCCGTCAAGCTGAGGGGCTCACCTTCTGGCACGGTATCAGGCAGTGCTTCATTGCCAGTCATCAGGTTTTCAGTGGTCAATTTTTTCACAAGTCAATCCCCACGTCCTTCGTCCTCGTCTTGGTCCGGAAGCTCCGCTGAAACCTGTCCCCCATGGATGACCCTGCTGGTATCTGCAATACTGGTGGCATAGCTTCCAGCATCATAGCAACATGCAAGCCACCAGACGGCAACAAACTGACAGACGAGTTGTGGAACACGATACGATGCTTATTTTCAAAGATTATTATAAAACCACGGAAGGATCAATCTGAGAAAAGAGCAAGTAGTTCCAACCACTTACTTTCACAACTAAGAAGAAACAGTTCCAGATCCCGACTGATTAACACAGTTAGTGCCAGTAATTAGTAGAACACAGGTCTCCTTATTCTCAGTCAGCACTCTTCCTGCAACCCCCTACAGGCCGTTTGGGTTTATTCATCCCATTTAGCAGCAGGGAGTTGGCAAGCTCACCTTCCGGACACTAGGGAGCACGTAAGGCTTTCCATTATCATCCCGATAGGCCCCGACTCCCAGATTCATTTTTTTGCTGTTGGTATCTCTCTTAAAAGCTTCTGTGACTCCCAGGATGGGATCTGGAGGCCCCATCTCCACATGGGCCCACCAGGAGCTGAAATGAGAAAAACAGGGCATCAATCAAGTTGGCTAGATCCTCACAGTCAGAGATTGCTCTGATTAAACTCTATTTCAAGAAACGTCTGCATGTTTACTATACATCACATCAGGAGGCATCAATAAAACAATATATAAGATTTCAAAGCAGCTTACAGAAGAGTGAAGACTAATGATTTCAACAGAAATGCTAGGACGTGGGTTTTAGAGCAGTGTGAACCTGACCTTAATTCCCCAGGCAAAGAATATTTCAAGTAATCTGGCAGTGAGGAGGTAAGAGCAGAGAAGTACAGAAGGGTCAATGTAACAGTATTATCTGATGTCCCAAGGGGCTTGGGTTTTATCCCGTCCTCAAACATCAATTGTTAAAGCTTCAATTAGAGTACTTGTTAAATATACAGGTTGCTATGGAAATAATCAGTCCAATGGACTAAAGGACTAAAGGAACTTTAGCCTCTAAAACCCTGAAACCAGAAGATCTAGATGGTGCCCAACTACTACTACTGACTTCTCTGAAAGGGATCACATCAGAAGGTGCTAGATAGAGTGGGAGAAAAATGTGGAACGAAACTCAAAATCATAAAAAAACACCAGGCTTACGGTCAGACAGAGCCTGGTGGAACCCCGAGACCATGGCCCTTAGTCACCCTTTGGACCTAGAACTGAACTCACTCCCATGAGTGATTTTACTCTCATTCTATTTTCAGCCACACAACAGACAGATCTACAAAGTGAACAAACCCTAGGAAGGCACGCACTTAGAACAATTAACCCCTTGAGACAAAAAGGGCAGCATTTGCCCAAGGACAAAACTCAGAAGGCAGGAAGGATGGAGAGAGAAGGAGAAATGGAAATGAGAAACACCGAGAGGAAGTGGGTAGAGTGATGTTACATTGAGGGGATTGCAATCAATGACATGAAACAAAATGTATGAATTGTTAGATGGGAAACTGATTTGCTCTGTAAACTTTCACCCAGATTATGATAAAAGTTTTTTTAAAAAAACCAAACATACAGGTTCCTGAGCTCTACTTGGGATGTAGTAAAACATGGAGAATCATTAGGTTTTGTTTTTTTGAGAAGGGGGAGTGGGAATCACGTAAGTTGCCCTGAAATGGAATGCACGTGATGGCAGCCAGTAACAACAGTGGTGATCTGGTGATAGGAGCAATATGAACGGACTTACATTTTTCAGAGCCCACCTGTTCACTGGGTGGGGTACTAAATGCAGGGTAAGAGGAGATGCAGAAAGATCACCAAAGAAGCTGGTTCATTACCCAGACAGAGAAAGAGATGTGAGCTTGGACCAGGGTGGTGGCAGCAAAGGTGGATAAGAGACAGATTTGCTAGGTACTTAGGAATTAAAAAACAGTGGGCTTTCAGGAAAGAAATAAAAATCAACTGCCTCTAACATTTTACTGGGAGCTCTGGTGGCATAGTGCCTAAAGCATTTGACTGTTAACTAGAACGCTGGCAGTTCAAACCCACCAGCCACTCCTTGGAAGGAAGACTGGGCAATCTACTTCCATAGTGATGTTGTTGTTGTTGTTATGTGCCGTCGAGTCGGCCCCGACTCATAGCGACCCCTCCTTGGGTTTCCGAGGCAGTATCACTACGGAAGTAGGATT